ACTCTACATCGCTGCAACAAGCGTCACCATGAAATTGTACCTTAATGGTTTTTAATAGGAAATAGTCATCAAGTTTGATTTCGACAATTCGAGTTGGCAACACTGCATGCGCCATTGTACTGTTGATACCGGTTGGGCGGTTAACCGGTGTATTTGTTTGATCTAAAGATTTCATGTGGCACAGTGTGTCATTTTCACCTTTTGGATACTTTCAACGCTAAATTGAGATTTCTTGCTAGACCGTGTTAGATGGGAAATGGATTCGTTAAGTGACGTCAAGGAGAATCTTGACCAATCGATTCGTCTATTAAGTCAACAGAACAGTCAACGGAGAACATTTTTGAGGTTAAGCGGCCAGCGGAGCACCACTCCGAAGAGGATATCATTACAGGCAACCAGTCAGTCGCGGAGGGATGCTGATGATAATAGACAGATGCTCGGTGACACGCACAGCTCGGGGATGGTCGACAAGAATTCCTCGGGAACCAGACTAACCAAGCTCTACAATGTGGAGCTTGATACTTCGTTAACCCTCGCGCCTCACGAAATCCGTGATATAATGATGCGCTCGGAGAGGAATGACATTACCATTAAGGAGATGATGGAGGACAGTACAGCGACTGGGGCGATTCTGAAGGCAAATGAGCCGTGGCGAGAGGCCAAATCCAAGCTCTATTACGACTTCCTGCAGAGTGTGCAAGCGCACTTCTCGAAGGCGCAGATCTTTGATACTATCGCGGATTTCATACAGAACTGTACCGACACGCTGGACATAATGAGAGGTATTGAAAATACTAGAAACAACTTTGTTCTGTGTTAAAATCAAAATAGCTTTATAACTTTAAGAATAAATCAAATACAAAATACCTATATGAACCTCTGCAGTTGTTGATACATACATATATTTATAAGACAGTAAGATATAATTTGCAAGAATTTGAATGTACTTACCAAATGAAGTTAACTACTAATGTTTTGACTCATCTTCATAAATACAACAGGTATTATACTGTATGCCAATTACAATGACCAACACTGAGGCTAAGAGAATGTTTTAATTCTTCTTGATGTATATATTATTTTGCAATGAAAAAATATTTTTTATATCTAGAAAAATATTTCAAAATATACCACAAGTTTTAAAAAGTCTCAAAAGTCTCTCTTGATTCTTTTAAAAAAATTCTCAAAGAATTACTTTAATGTGTTACATAAGATTCCCTCCTTAACTCAGCTGAAGTACTGGGTTACATACCTAGTTTTGCCATAAATTCTGTCTCTCTCTCAGTAGTTTAAACTGATAGAGAACAAAAAAAAACAGCAACAAGGTAGATCCAAAATTATACATATATTTTGAAAGTAGAGGAAAAGAAGCTACAAAACCATCTAATTTTTATTCCAAATTCTTGTCTTTGTTTTGATCAAAATATGGTCTTTGATAGTTGTTGTTAAGCCTCTTTCTTAGTCACACTTTGTTCGATAGTCAGTTTTGAACTTTCCAGCAAGACTCAGTCCTTGCACACAAGGTGAAAACGACGCAAGCATGGCTGGAGAACAACGTTCTAAGCTTCATCAAAGCTTCTGATTGGCTGTCTGGACTTTAATTCGCTAGATTATAAAATGTGGAACGTTTTGGAAGAGATGACTTGCAAGAAGCCTCACCGTAATTTGGAGTGGCTCAAACATTCCATTGTGTCAGCAGCTGAGAAGATTCTTCTGGAGATCGTGCATAAATTGATCGATGAATAGTCCGAAGTTTACGCAAATATATGAGACAAAGATGGGCATTTTGAATAAAAAAATAGATGGTTCTGGTCTTTTCCTCTACTTTCAAAATATATGTATAATTTTGGGTCTATCTGTTGTTTTTTTGATCTATTCGTTTAAACTACTGACATAATTTATGACAAGACTAGGTACACCTTAATTGTATAATAACACTAAGCATTTATCTACAAGTAAGGATGGAATAGATTAGAGTAAGGCAATATATATAAAAAAATTTCATCCCCATTATTAAGTCTATCAGTCTAGTTGGTTCCGAGGGTTAAATGAGAATTTTCCACAGTTGTTTTTTATTTATTAGATTGTTGAATTCAATATAACAAAAATATGTTACTAGAGAAATTTTTATGTAACGAACCGAAAGCTCTGTGAGTCAAAACATATGTATGAATTTTTACTGTTAAAATTAAATTTTATATTAATTAAATGATTTTTTGAACATAACTCCTATTAAGGTTTGATTATTGGTCGTTTGTCGAAAGATATTGTTTTTGCTGTGCATATATTCGAGCATTATATTATTTTGTTATTAAAAAATGTTTTTTTTTTAAATAATCGAAATAATGGTATTTTTTTCAAAGTATGTTCGATTAAGTTTGAAATCTCGTTAGAAAAATTTCTCTAACAGTTTTTCGAAACTATGAATTTTTAAAAACTTATTTTGCGCAAATATTAAAACATTTTCTTTTCTTTTTTCCCTAAATATTTCGAATATTTTTAATTTCTCAAGCTTCACACCTATTCATTCTTCTTTGTGATCCTTTGACATACCGATTGAAAAAAAGTTTGTTCAAATTCTATGCATTACAGGTAAAGATATACGCGATTGAAAACATCGGGATAACACCCATATGCTCTAAAATCTCAAATCAAACATAGTCCTCTAGTTGAGGGTTAAAAAGGAAACACAATAAAGTTTGTGATACTATTATTAATTTGATTGCATACTGAATTCTGCGCTTGACTCTCAGTAATCTATTTTCTACATTGTTTTTATTTAATCATTTCATAGCAGATGTCAATGTATTAAATTTTAAGCAAAACATTATTGTCTGTCCCAACAGGTATGCAATCAAAAGTTGAGAATACAGAAGTAGCAGAAGAAGAAATTTCTTTGGAAAGTGAAAGGAACACATGGAGACTGATATATTGCCTCTATCAGAATCGTATAAGTAGCGCTGGCTTGTCTACACAAATGGAACATGATGGACCAACAAGCAATAATTATATCTCTGAGAAAGATGTTATAGAAAATTTGTATAAGTCTGAGAGTTATATCAGAGAATATCAATTGATTATTGATTGGTTAGAAAAAAATGCTTTGGATCAAGCGGATAAATGTCCGTCCATAGAGCTCTTTACCGATAAAACAGTAGCTTGGGAAAATACAGTTCATCAGTTGCATAATCAAAATTTGGGAATTGCATTCAGCTCATCCAGACCACTGGTATCGTCTTTAGATCCTGATGCACCGATACGAGAGGGTAGGCCATTACATGATTTGGATAGAGAAGATGATGCCAGGCTTGAAAAACGAATGTTTATAGAGGTATATATAGAGACTACATACTTGATCTCAATTGAAATTATTTGTGATTTATTAAAATTATTAAAATTATTATTTTTAAACAAGTTTTAACATCTTTGTTTTGCTTATTTTTTTAGCAATTGATCTTATACGCGTTTAATTATTATAATTAACCCTCAGTACCCACATCTCAAAAAAGTCCTTATCTATCTACATCCGGGTAACCCGTAACAGCGTTTTCTTTTGCTTGTATCTCAGATTGTAGTGCATCGATTTTTACTAATTTTTTTTTAATCTATTGTTTGAAGACTGAAAAAAAGAATTTTTGAGTTAGAAAGTCTTGAATGTCGTAGCACAAAAGATATTTTGCAATAAGTGAAAAGGGATCGG